AATATACAGGGTCCTGCAACAGTGCGTATGTCTAACCTAATTCATACCTGGTAAGAAATATCAAAAAACCTTTTGTGCAAATGGTTGCGCATCTACATAAATTATTTTTGAATGGACAGGGTGTCCAATTTTTACTGTGCCAGTAGGCAACTGATTTTTGTAACGGAACACCCAGTATGTTTTGAGTTATTTCGTTGTCATTTTTTAACCTCTGCATTTTTTTAATGAAACTACCACTAGTTTAATTCTCTATTATACCATAGTCTTTTGTGTGCTCGTCAATTTTTATAAGGAAGTGTCCTGTGACTAAACCCGTAGTTTTTAGGCTATTTAATATTTTTTACAAAAATAGTTACACATTAATTAATTACATGTTTATAAACAAGAGTAGGCCGTGATAAAAAGAACAAAAGATTGCCAGACAGTAAACAAGTGCCATAAATTTATGATTTGCTGCAAGTGTACTCCTTATTTTGTAGTAAAATAAGATTTAAAAAGACTCATCTTTTTCGAAATTCGCCTTTTTAATTAATCTTATTTTACTACGAAATAGGGAGTACGTACACTTGCAGCAGATAATATATTTGTGACACTTGTTTACTGTCTGGTATTCTTTTGTTTTTTATTATCACGGTCTACACCGATTTATAACATGTAATTAATTAATGTGTAACTACGAAAATTTTTGTCAAAAATATTGAATATCCTAAAAAGTACGGCGCCCAGAACACTCATTATAAAAATTGAAAAACACACAAAAAACTATCGAATAATGAAATAAAATAGTGGTAGTTCCATTTGAAAAAAAATAGTTAGAGATCTTGCTGAAATGACTAATGAAAATATTCTCAAAGTCCTGGAAATCAATTGTTTTCTAATTTGTTGGGGTGTCCAAATGAGTCACCAAATTGTTTATCAGTAATGGCGGTTACCATCCGACAAAGATTTGGTGGTATTATAAACCAATGTTTGACACGTTGCGCTATACATTGCAAGAATGAAAATAATAATAGTTTTGAATTGATGTTCCTTCCCTATTGTGCGGATCATTTGTATTATAAATTAGCAGCGACAGTAGTTGAGGGTAATTGTAGTATATACGCATTTTGAATTTCGTGAAGCCTTTATTGATTTCCATTTACTGTACCCCAAAATAACCAATAGGAACTTCTACGTACACGCATTATTCGTGTTAACGTCATTGATCGTGTTGGATATCGCAATAGACGTTTTACGAAAATAAATATTCTATATAAGATCATAATTTCCATTATCTTGCGTTTTCACATTGTTTAATTAAAATTATTTTACATGTTTTCGCCTTTGCCCATTTGGCAAGAATTAGGTACGATCCTGACTCGTTATATACAATAGCAACAAGAGCGGTTTGTTTAAAAATTTAAATTAAATAAACTTTCCGTTCATTTACTTCAAAACGTCACGGCTTCTATTCTTGTTCTTGTAAATGTGCTACTTTTCCAGTTTTGAAACGTTAAAAATAATTTTGGGGGAGAGGTTAGTTTAAATATCACTTTTCTTTGTTATAAATGTTCTACTAATTATATGTTAATTATACGTTTGATTTAAGATTAATTAATATATTGTGTAAACTACGTGTGTGAATAGGTACCTTTAAACTTATAATGCTGATGAGGTAATTAAGCATTAATTTCTCTTTGAGTGCCGCGCGTTTTTTAACTGCCGTCATTAGGTGAGAGGCGATGACGAAAACGTCATCTTCTAGATTTGTTGGAATGTGTTCAAGATCCTTTCTGAATGTGTTTTTTGTTATTTTGATAATTTAAACAAAATACGAGCAAGAACTACAAATGAGTCGTTAATGGCGGGGATTTGAATAGATAATTCTTGTAGATGTAGTTTTCACACTTGTTGGGAATGGGATGATTTTTATTAAGCGGCAGAGCAAAGCGATGCAAGCATTATAGGGGAGTCGATGGTGTCCGTCTGTCCGTGAACACGATAACTGTCAAACGCTTGGACCGATTTGGTTCAAACTTTGCACAGTTGAGCTATATGGCAATTGTAATAAGCCTATTGAAAATGGGTCAAATCCAATGACCTCGTGGGGTCACACTTCTCTGTCCCTGCCACCCGCTTGAACCCTCGCTTGAACCTATTCTGTTGAAACTATGTACAGTAGACTTATATGCCACATGCAACAAGTCTATTAAAAATGGGTCAAATCCAATGACCCCTCTCTAGCTCTGGCAAACGCTTGAACCGAGGCTTGAACCTATTCGGTTCAAACTTTGCACAGTTACCTAACATATACCGGGTGGTGCCTAGCGCGACGCAGCATAGGGATTTCAATGGTAATTTCTTTGTAGTTACTAGCTCCCCAAATTATTTTAGAGCAAAATTCTAAATACGTTTTTTTCAGAGAAAAAAATACTGCATCTGTTCATACTCTTACTCACAATTTTCCGTTTTTCAAAACCGTAGAAATCGATAAAATAAAAAGGTTCATTTTACAATAAATCAAATATGCCTTGGAATTACCTTAAAATACAACGATCACGTTTCATTATTTGCCTTTGACGTATATTAAATTTATACTTGTTTATAAATTAGTTAAAGAACTGCAAGTGCGATAACGTTCAAAATGTCCGCCAAAACCCAGGAAAACAACAATACATTCAACGTTTTTGCTGCAGTAGCGGAAAATCCGAATATAAGTTTAAGAACAAATCTTCTTCAAATCAATTTTTTTTCTTCGATTATGTAGGTACTCTGGTTCGGGAAAATAATAAACAAATAGTATCTGATGCAGATGCAGCATACATTCTCTTGTCGATTTCTACAGTTTTGAAAAATGGAAAATTATAACTAATTTAACTTATTTGTTTATTGTCCCTCTTATTCTAGGCCCTCAACAGGCTTACGCCCAATTACAGAGTGACCCGCATAATCCTTTTTAGAGGTGCCCCTGCAGAAGGTCTTAAGTTGTTCTATACTACTCCGGTATTCACCTTACGAATTAGGAAAACTGCAGGAAAACCTAATTCGGAGTAGCCGGCAGAATGCTCGAAACTGATCTAAGGAAATTCCCATCCCTGCCACAGATGAAAAATTCACCTCAAACCAGGTTCGAACACCCGACCTCCGGATTTATAGCCCAACGCTCTACCACTGAGCTATAAGCCGGTATGAACAGATGCAGTATTTTTTTCTCTAAGCAAACGTATTTAGACTTTTGCTCTAAAATAATTTGGGGAGCTAGTAATTGACTATAAAGAAATTATGATTGAAATCCCTATGCTGCGTTGCGCTAGGCACCACCCTGCATACCACATGTAACAAGCCAATTTCAAATGGGTCAAATCCAATGACTCCATGGGGTCACACCGAGGTACTCTGCCGCTTTTGTAAATGCTCTTTATGGGTTTATGAAATCATTCGAAAGACCTATAACCTACAAAAATTGCGCCAGTTCTTTTATAGAGAAAAAAATCTCAAAGCTAAAAAACTAATACATATATATATTTTTTCTCCAAACGGTTATTTTGATTTCGATAAAATTTTGCAAATGTAGATTAGGCATAAAGGATGTGAGACTGTCAAAAACTTTTTTTTTTTATAGAAAACAAATGAGTAACGAAAAACAATTTTTTTATATAACAATAACATGAATCTAGATATCCTACATCAAAATAAAATAAATGAACGTAAAAATAAAATGGTTTTCTACGCAATAAGTGTTTAAAATATTCGCCATCAACTATCGGCTATGCAAAAATAGCCATCGATGGAAATTATATCTAGGCGAAATAATCTTTCTTGCTGCATTAATTGGCCATCGAGATGCCAACACTTTCTAGTACTGAGAATTGGTTCATCACATGGACGAACAAACAAAACGCTAGTAATGGTGCATTTTTTTAAGAGTTACAAAAGAATGTGCTATTGTTTGCGTTTTGTCCGTCCGTCCGGACCAACTTCTGCGCTTTTGAACTACTTTTAGGGGAATCGTCCTATCGTAATTTTTGAAGTAGATAGCCTATACCTGGAGGGTGTACCAGGTGGTCAAATTTTGTTGTTTTACGTAATGACACTGGGAGGAAGAGTGGCTACTACAAACGTAAATGGCGAATCATAAAATGCTGTTTGTGTAATTTCGTTTCTAGCGTTTTGTACCATGTGGGAAAAGATGAAAAAGATCGTTTTTTATCTTAATTTGACAATTTTTAATGTATCCTATGAAAATATTACTTTAATTAACAGGGGAGACGTATGGCACCTTGTTTGAAAGCAATGTTTAGTTTTTTTTTTAATTTGGTGTGAGAAAATTAATTTTGAAGATGTAAAATTTGTGATAACGTGTTCATCACAACACTACGTAGAAATTAAAAATTAATAAATTACGAGTAGTTTATTATTCAATTTACTGTATAATTAAATTAAATGTGCAAAATGAAAATATACTAATAAATTGCTTCATTAGATATACTCGTAAGTAAGTTCTGTGATGGAGACATTATCAAAAGTTTAGATTTTCAAAATTAATTTTCTCAGTTATGATAACATAAAATTTAAAAAATCCTTTTTAAATAAAATGCCTCACGACTCTCTTTTAATTTAAAATTAACGAGGAGTTGCTTATAATTGAGTGTGTAATATTTGACTACTAGAATGTCTCATTAGCAAACCATTTGCAGATCCAAGCTTATAGGACATAAAGTTAATAAATACTTCTGTCCGTCGGTCTGGTTATACATCTATTACAGGATTGACTTAGTGCTAGGAAAGTTTTCATTTCACAGTGTATCGAAGTGACGTATCTTTTAGCGTACTTTAAAAATCGGAGTGTAATTGCGTTTTTTTTTATCGACTTCCTACCATCTCATTTAAAAACGTACTAACAGGACAACGAAGTAAGCGAGATTTGAAAATGTTAGGTAGAAGAAATAAAACTATATTCGTTTTTTACAGATATAGATAAATTATTATTTTATTTGTTTATATAATTATAATTTAGCGGTTATAAATAATATATAACGGTCATATGCACAATATAATGTATCTACTATACCCAAATGGATACAACGTAGCCTTATTTTCGCATTTAATGTAAAGGCAAGGGAGCGGGCAAGTCTAATTTAGCTAAAAGTAGTGACGCGGATGGTAACGTTGGCAATACTGTTTTTTCTATTGGTATATCGACTCTGGCAGCTGGTGGTCCGTAGACAGCGGCCGGCGCCGGATACGGTCCGGATCTGACCACTTCGACTTTTGGTAAAGGCGTCTCAACTTTGAACTCGTATGTTGTGGCGATGGGTTTTGGGGCAGGTAACTCGATTCTTGGTATACCGTAAACCGGAGCCGGTTGTTCTATCCTCGGTACGCCATATACGGGTGCTGGAAGAGGGAGAGATTTGAGAAGGGGCGTTTCGACTTTGTATTCATAGGCTGTGGCGATTGGTTTTGGAGCTGGAAGTTCAATTCGCGGAATCGCGGGTATTTCAACGCGTGGTGCTCCATACACGGGTGCAGGTGCTGGGTAAGGTGCGGATTTCACTACTGGAGTCTCCACCCGGTATTCGTACGCAGTTGCAATTGGTTTAGGTGCAGGAAGTTCAATTCGTGGAATGACGGGCGCTCCATAGACAGGTGCAGGTGCCGGATATGGTGCAGATTTCACCGTTGGAGTTTCCACCCTGTATTCGTACGCAGTTGCAATTGGTTTTGGTGCAGGCAATTCAATTCTGGGTATCACTGGAGCGCCGTATACGGGCGCTGGAGCGGGGTATGGTGCGGATTTCACTATTGGTGTTTCTATCTTGGCGATGGGTGCTGGTAGCTCAATGCGGGGTACACCGTATACCGGTGCAGGTGCTGGGTACGGTGCTGTTTTCACTACTGGAGTCTCGACGCGGTACTCGTACACAGTTGCAATTGGTTTTGGAGCAGGAAGTTCAACTCGTGGTACTCCATACACAGGTGCAGGTGCTGGGTATGGTGCTGATTTCACCACCGGAGTTTCCACTCTGTATTCGTACGCAGTTGCAATTGGTTTGGGTGCAGGAAGTTCAATTCGTGGAATGACGGGGACTTCCACTCGTGGTACTCCATAGACAGGTGCGGGTGCTGGGTAGGGTGCAGATTTCACCACCGGAGTCTCCACCCGGTATTCGTACGCAGTTGCAATTGGTTTAGGTGCAGGAAGTTCAATTCGTGGAATGACGGGGACTTCCACTCGTGGTACTCCATAGACAGGTGCGGGTGCTGGGTAGGGTGCAGATTTCACCACAGGAGTCTCCACCCGGTATTCGTACGCAGTTGCAATTGGTTTGGGTGCAGGCAGTTCAATTCGTGGAATGACGGGGACTTCCACTCGTGGTACTCCATAGACAGGTGCGGGTGCTGGGTAGGGTGCAGATTTCACCACCGGAGTCTCCACCCGGTATTCGTACGCAGTTGCAATTGGTTTAGGTGCAGGAAGTTCAATTCGTGGAATGACGGGGACTTCCACTCGTGGTACTCCATAGACAGGTGCGGGTGCTGGGTAGGGTGCAGATTTCACCACAGGAGTCTCCACCCGGTATTCGTACGCAGTTGCAATTGGTTTGGGTGCAGGCAGTTCAATTCGTGGAATGACGGGGACTTCCACTCGTGGTACTCCATAGACAGGTGCGGGTGCTGGGTAGG